AGAGAAGGCCCTTCATCCTAGCACTCAAGAAACATCCCTTATTCAACATATATTTGGGGGTCATCTCCAATCTCAGGTAGCTTGCAATTACACTGAGGTTTTGATATTAATCTGTGAAATGCACTGTTATAGATTCTGACATTCTGTTGACTTGCAAGTATCTAGGATTTACCCATTCTTGTTTCTACTCTGGTTGAGCATGGAGGTGGTAGATTCTTAACATAATTATTTTATGATTCCAGCATATCCATCATGATAATGTCATTTCCTTTTTCTTTCAGTCATATGTGGCTTTGTTGTCCTTTGACTTTGTAAGGAATTATTTTCTGCATCACTGATTAAAGTTTATCTGGCAATTCCTGGTGTCAAATAACAGTTGAATGGGCGTTAAAAACTTTGAATGTGCTACATAGTTATAAATAGAATGTTAGTTGAAATAAATCAATAAAACTATGAGGGAAAAGAATTTTAATTGCTTACTGGAAGCTGGTGTAGTTGTTCAGATCATAACTGGGCATAAGGCAAGCCTTGAGGAGTGACAGTTCACTTCGTGGTTGTGCCTCAAATGTTATAACCCGTCACACTTAGACTTGAGGTAAATTTGTTGTTTTATAGGTGGTGTTTGGCAAGTTTTGGGTTTGGGTTTTTTTTTATTTTTTTCACTAAATGACAAAATTTTTGCAAAACCAAAAAAAATAAATCCAAACAAAATATCACATCCAACCCCATAATCATTTCACTTTTTCTCTCACAAATATCACATCCAACCACAAAAAAAAAAACCCAACTATCTTCCCAAACACCAAAAAATCTGTCCTGAATGTGTTAATTCCTTTTTTTTCTCTCTCTTATTTCCCAGGTGATTTGTTCAAAATGCAATAATGTTTCAAATCAGTATGAAAATAGTTTTTGCATCTAGCTATAACCATTTTTCTTTGATTCTGTCCTGAATGTGTTAATTCCTTTTTTTCTCTCTCTTATTTCCCAAGTGATTTGTTCAAAATGCAATAATGTTTCAAATCAGTATGAAAATAGTTTTGGCATCTAGCTATAACCATTCTTCTTTGATTCTGTCCTAAATATGTTAATTCCTTTTTTTTTCTCTCTCTTATTTCCCAGGTGATTTGTTCAAAATGCAATAATGTTTCAAATCAGTATGAAAAAATGATGGATCTAACTGTTGAAATTCAAGGGGATGCCACATCTTTAAAGGAATGCTTGGACCTATTCACTGTCAGAGAGTGGCTTCACGGAGATAATATGTATAAATGTGATGGGTAAGGGTTGTTCTTGTTTTCATGTCAAATATAGAGATACATTACCTTGTTATGTTTTTTTTTACCTTGTTATTTTTTTTTTTTTTTTTTGTAGGCTACCACTGGTATGCTATATTTACCCTAGTAGGGATATGTGAAAAATATATTGGGACCCATAACTATTTTGGCATGATCTCCACCTAAATGACAGCTCATAGGGCTCTCGTTAGCATGGCCTTTTATTTTTTTATTTTATTTTATTTTTTATATATGGTACATCACGACACAATAGTTCTATTTGTCTTTGAATTTGAACCTTTACTGATGCCAACTCTTTTGCCTAGTGAAAAAGGGCCAATTTAGTGATATCCCATTGTGGGGTTTTGATTTTTCCACTAATGTAGTAATAATTATTAATATAAATGATTACTTGTAAACATATTGCCGCAAATGTTCTGCTGTAAACACCACTGAATCAATGGTATTAAGATCATAATATGCCAATCTCTTTGCAGATGCAATGAGTATGTCATGGCATGGAAGCGTCTTACTGTTCGAAGGGCCCCAAACATTCTTACAATTGCTTTAAAGAGGTTTCAGGTTTGTGATAAGTTTTTCTTTCCTTCACTTTCGGTATATATATATATTAGTAGTCTTTCCTCTTTTCCTCCTCCCTCCTTCACTTTTGGCACTGCACCAACTCACACGTTGGGCCCACCTAGTGAGGTTCCTGTGGAAGCAGCCAATACTTAGGCTGTGGAAATAGCATAGCATAGTAGTCATTAATTTGCCATCTGATTAAATTTTGAACTACATCTTGAATTGGTGATTAGTCCATGGCAGAATTTTAGTTTTGGTTTTGTGAATTAAATGCTTGAAGAAGTTTGAAATTTTTATTATTCTCTCTGATAAGTTCTAATTTATGCGCATATTTGTTGCAGAGCGGGAGGTTTGGGAAACTTAATGAAAAATCTAGAAATCCTCTAGATGTTGATTTGTGATTATGTATCAATTTTAAGCAATAAAACAATCCCAATCAAACAATCAAGACAAATCGACACAACGATTTTAACGTGGAAAAACGACAATTAGACACCTCCAATTGTGATAAAAAACCACGGGCAATAGCCACAAAACAACCACTAAGAAGATATAAAGGAATTACACAGGTATACTCTCAATTACCTAGCGAATCCACGCCCAAATTGAGCCAACCTCTATGTGTCTCTTCCAACCCCGTCTTCACCTCGGAATTGTCTTGACGATGAGCCACTCCGGAATCCACCAAAGCTTCAGTGTAAAAAAGATAACAACATATTATTTTTCCGTCTACAAAACTAACAAATTACTGATAAAAATAAGACAAACTTTTATGTCAATTAAAACTGTAAGTATTCTCAACGTAATTAAATATGTGGAGTTTGATGTATATCAATCCACACCTTAAAGGAGGTATAGTGCAATTTAACCCTTTTTTTTTTTTTTGCCTGAGTAGCAATTATATTCATCTTCATATGTACAAAAAAAAAAAGAAAAAAGAAAAAAAAAGAGAAAGTAATTTAATAATTTAAGCTAATCATCTTCATGTGAAAGAAGCTTAAACATGAAGAGAACAGAACAAAGAAGAGAATTTACCAGATAGTAAGGCAGCTTCATTCTCTGTAAGCATTGCAGAGAACCCCTTAAATGCGTGACTGTAAAAATTGAGTAGAGATACTCTCTCACTCTCTTGACTTCCCATAACAAAATTAAAAAAAAAAATGGGAAAAAAAATTCACAAAGAATTAGTGTTTTTCTTCAAATTCAGTTGATTAATAGTCAAATTTTAGTTCTTGTTATTGAAAAAAGATCACAAGATTTAACAACCTTGGAATGATGGATGATAATAGTTGCAAGTGTGCTGCTGACTCTTCAACAGTGGCATTGCCTCCTCCATTTCCATTTATTGAACTCCCCATATATATGACATAAGGCTGCATTATGATATTAACAGCTCTAGGTAGTGATTAAATACAAATTTGCATTTCCAAAATGTAAGAATGCTCTACTTAGAGGCCATTAAAAAAATTAAAAAAATGAAATAAAAGAGGGCAAATCATAACATGCACTTGCACACCACTAATTTTTCAATTTTTTTTTTATTTATACATAAATTAATTACAGAATGAAATACAATTATGAGATAGGTCCTATTTAGACACTCACATGAGCCCGGAACCCACAAAAAAGTGAGAACACACCTCATATGAGAAGATTGTATTCGATTCTATAATCGATTTTGCTAGTGAAAATCCTAAGTGATTCGTGATTAGATCAAGATTAAAATATTCCAAATCCCAAATATTCAAAACACACAATCTAAATCAACAAGCACTTACGAAAGTGATTTGGATTGTTTGTTTTTCAGAATAAACAATAAATTGACACAAAAGATTTTTACGTGGAAAAAACCACAATTGGACACTTCCAACTGTGATTAAAAAAACCACGGGCGAAATGCCACTAATCAATCCACTATTGAAGTAAGAAAGATTACAAAGATAACATACAAATTACCCAACTCAGTCAATTTGTCTTCGAATCTTCTGTAACTCTTTCTCCACGACTTCGTCTTGGAACTGATCAATCCTGAAGTTGATTCCACAACCTCACTTGTCGAATTAACGACCACGTATAAGATCAAACGCCTTTTGAAACTATACGCTTGAATCTTCGTAATCCACCGAAGAAAACTCTCTCTTGAATTTAAAGAAACCAACTCCTTGATGTATGTATTTTAGATCATGAGTGAAGAACTCTTCTCAAAACATCAAGGAAAACTCACCAAAACTTCAGAAGTACACCACAAACAAAACCCTAGGACTCTTGAATAAGATCTAGGAAAAGTCAACCTAAAACAGACCCAACAAACGAATATATAGAATCTGGGATCGCGCGGTCCGCTCGAGCGTGGGTATTCCCGCTCGAGCGGTGACGTCAAATTCTGCGATTTCATACAGGCTCCACGCTCGAGCGTCAGTTTCCACGCTCGAGCGTCTAATCACACCACCCAGTATTTTTCAGGCGACTGCAGAGATGCTGAGAGCTTCCAATCCCCGCTCGAGCGTTACTTTCCCCGCTCGAGCGGGGCAACCAAAATATGAAAACCTGGAAAACTGAAACCTGTAACAACCTTGGTTTTGATCCATGGAATTTGACAACAAAGGGTCCTAACAATCTCTCCCTTTGTTAAATCCCGGACAACACCATTCTAAAACAGTTTTCCTAACAAAATCACAAAAGTAATAAAACAATTTTCCAAACTATTCTAAAACAATTTTCCAACCAAAATCACAAAATCAACACCACCAACTATGAACCAACATTCACAACCAAATCTCAAATCCATGCTCTTGAACAATTATCCTGAAAGAAAACAACCACACACAAGCCAACCAAAAATATGTGAAACTGGATTAAATAACAAATGACAAATCCATCCATAAACAAACCATCCAAAACATATGACAATCCAACTGTACCAAAGAAGGATAGAAGTAAAAGTAAAAATAACTGTAATAATCCAACTGTACCAAAGAAGGATAAAAATAACTGTAGTATGTACCACCAGTACCATGTACACCAACAAGATATACCAAAAAACTGTAATAAAGTAATAACTGTACCACCACCAAAACCAACTCCCCCTTTTTGTCCGGAAGGGAACAAAAGAAAGAGAAACAAAACAAAAGAGCAAAGATCAAAGATCAAGGAGCCGGAGGCGGAGACTGCATTTGAAGCAAGGTCAAGATCTGAGCCAGCTGGGATGAAGACTGTGCCACAGAATCCTCAATCCGCTGGGAAGAAGCCTCCAAGGCACTGAAACAGGTATCGGTAGTGGTCTCAAGATCTGTGAGTCTGGCCTCAAACATATCCATCCGCTCCTCAAGATGGTCAAACCGGGAACCAACAGAGCGCTCGAGGGACTAAAGCTGACCACGGACTATACGAACTGGAGGGTGCTGCTCCCCCTCACCACGATCTCCGCCAGCAGCAGCATCATACTCGGCCTCCTCGGCCATGGCTGCAGCAGCACTAGGACCTGCACCAAAGCTACCAGAACCAGAAGGAACCCCCCTAATGTGAGACTGACTCTGGGAGACAGTCTTCTTGGTAAATGGGCGTGTAGGAGAAGCAAATTCGTCCTCATCATATGCAGGGACCGCAAATTTGACTAAAAGTCGGTTGACGAGACAGCCATAGGGTAAGCCAAGATTGTTGCGCTCAAAAGCAGCAACCATCTTTTGAATGATAAGGGTGGCAAGATCAATTGGACGGTTTTGGGCAATACACTGAAGAACAAAGCCTTGATCTTAATTAATCTCAGAGCTGTGGGTGGTAACAATGATATTGGCACACATAATTAAGTTGAGTGACCTAAATAGTGGAAGAAGTTCATTCTGTTTTATCAGGGAACCAGAAGGCCAAGAACGAGGAAAACCACAAAGGGTCTGAGCAACCTCATCAAAATCACACGTGGGGCGCACTGGAAAAGGGTAAAAGATAGGAAATCGGTCACTAATCCCTAAAATCTCATGGATAATAGCAGTGGTGGCAGTGATTTCCTTGGATCTAACCCATGTCTTAAAAGATGGTCCAATGTTGTCAAGACCATCCATATTGCAATTAAATTCCCGCACCCAAGTGAGGTTTTGAGACCCAGAAAATAAAAGAACATGATCCCCTCCCAAAGGTTCAAAAAAGGAACGGATAGGTACAGACTCAAATGTGGAGGGTTGAACAGTCCGTTCAAGATGGATGGAGCGACCGGGATAAGACTCTCTATATAACTTGGCTTTTTCAGCCGATGGGAAGCGGTCAGTGTTAAAGGTGGGGCGAGAGGCAGTAGACTTTCGTCTTTTGAAGGTGGACATTACTAAACCAAGATAAAAGAACCAAGACAAACAACCCCCAACCCAAGACCAAACAACAACCAACAAAGAAACCACAAAACATTAGTATCACAGTGATATAGCAACATGGGTTAATAAAAGATATCGTATGATGCAAAAATGTAAGCATAAGATAAGCAAATATTACAAATATGAAGCAGAGTAAATGTGATGCGTACTAGGACCAAGAAAACAGCAGTCAAACCCATATACAGCCAGCATGGTAAGGGGCTTAATCAGCAAAGAAAATAGGATCACAGTAACACAAGACACTAGATGTGGACCAAAAGCCCCAACCAAAATCCCCAATGTAAAAGACAGACAAAAACACTGAAAACAGTGAACAAGAAGAAAACGACAAAAATAATATGGTGGAGCAAGCAAAAAATTTTAGATTAGTACCTTAAAACACACAAGACTATCCAAGAAGCACAATTACTAGTAAACACAATGTGCACAGTCTGTAGAAGATTCCTCACGAAAGAAAGTGATGTATTATGTGAAAAGCATAGATCCCATGAGAAAGGTGTGTGTGTGACTCTTGGAGTTCGACAAACACTAGATTCAATCCTAGTAGTGCTCTGATACCAATTGAAAAATCTAGAAATTCTCTAGATGTTGATTTGTGATTATGTATCAATTTTAAGCAATAAAACAATCCCAATCAAACAATCAAGACAAATCGACACAACAATTTTAACGTGAAAAAACCACAATTGGACACCTCCAATTGTGATAAAAAACCATGGGCAACAACCACAAAACAACCACTAAGAAGATATAAAGGAATTACACAGGTATACTCTCAATTACCTAGCGAATCCACGCCCAATTGAACCAACCTCTATGTGTCTCTTCCAACCCCGTCTTCACCTCGGAATTGTCTTGACGATGAGCCACTCCGGAATCCACTAAAACTTCAAGCTCGAATTCTTCAGAATCCACCGAAGAACAACTCTCTCTTTTATGTAGAACAAACAAATAATCCTTTGATATATACTCTTTAAACCATGAGTTGAATACTCAATCAAAATATCAAAAAAAACTAGCAAAATATCCCCAGATATAAACCTTAGAATCCAAAAAGAAGATCTGGAGAAGTTATCTAAGTTTTGGGAGAAAACCAACTACTTATAGAAATCCAAAGTAATCCTAGTTTTGGAAAAAAACCAATTCCTTATAGAAATCCAAGAATCTGTGTTCGCGCGGTCTGCTCGAGCGTGGGAATTCCCGCTCGAGCAGAGGCTTCAAAATTGTGTGATTCATATAGGCTTCACGCTCGAGCGGAAGTTTCCACGCTCGAGCGTCGAATCACACCATCCAGTACTTATCAAGGCGAAGCAGAGATGCTGTGAGCTTGCAATCCCCGCTCGAGCGTCACTTTCCTCGCTCGAGCGGGACGACCAAAATTGGAAAATCTGGAAAACTTAATCCTATTACAACCTCAATTTTGATCCATGGAAATTGACAAAGGCACGATTTGGGTTGGATTCGCATCTAACAAACTCAAAGCCTCACTGAAATAAAAGTGCGAAAACAAATACAACTGAAAGGAGTTTTCTCAAACGGGGTTACCAAGAATAAAACCTAACAATCTCCCCCTTTGGCAATGCCGTGACAAAACACACCTAACAAATAAAATCCTAAACACCCCAACCCATTACAGCCAACAAAACCCAACTTCTTTCTCAAGGTCATGATCTGCAAAACAGTTATTAGTGCCACAATCTCCAAAACAACTATTAGTCCCACAAGAGTATATGAAAAAGCAATAGACATATGACACGATTATCTTGAAACAACTCTCAAACAACAAAAGCAAGATCATAAACCAACCCAAGTCAAGATGAACCAAACTCCCCCTCACTAAAAGCTACCACAAACACTAAAAACAGTGAACAAGAAGAAAACGACAAAAATAATATGGAGGAGCAAGCAAGAAATTTCAGATTAGTACCTTAAAACACACAAGACTATCCAAGAAGCACAATTACTAGTAAACACAATGTGCACAGTCTGTAGAAGATTCCCCATGAAAGAAAGTGGTGTATTATGTGAAAAGCATAGATCCCAAGAGAAAGGTGTGTGTGTGACTCTTAGAGTTTGACAAACACTAGATTCAATCCTGGTAGTGCTCTGATACCAATTGAAAAATCTAGAAATCCTCTAGATGTTGATTTGTGATTATGTATCAATTTTAAGCAATAAAACAATCCCAATCAAACAATCAAGACAAATCGACACAACGATTTTAACGTGGAAAAACCACAATTGGACACCTCCAATTGTGATAAAAAAAACCATGGGCAACAGCCACAAAACAACTACTAAAAAGATATAAAGGAATTACACTGGTACACTCTCAATTACCTAGCGAATCCACGCCCGAATTGAACCAACCTCTATGTGTCTCTTCCAACCCTGTCTTCACCTCGAAATTGTCTTGACGATGAGCCACTCCGGAATCCACCAAAGCTTCAGGCTCGAATTCTTCAGAATCCACCGAAGAACAACTCTCGCTTTTATGTAGAACAAACAAATAATCCTTTGATGTATACTCTTTAAATCATGAGTTGAATACCCAATCAAAACATCAAAGAAAACTAGCAAAATATCCCCAGATATAAACCTTAGAATCCAAAAAGAAGATCTGGAGAAGTTATCCAAGTTTTGGGAGAAAACCAACTACTTATAGAAATCCAAAGTAATCCTAGTTTTGGAAGAAAACCAATTCCTTATAGAAATCCAAGAATCTGTGTTCGCTCGGTCCGCTCGAGCGTGGGAATTCCCACTCGAGCGGAGGCTTCAAAATTGTGTGATTCATATAGGCTTCACGCTCGAGCGGAAGTTTCCACGCTCAAGCGTCGAATCACACCATCTAGTACTTTTTCAGGCGAAGTAGAGATGCTGTGAGCTTGCAATCCCCGCTCGAGAGACGACCAAAATTGGAAAATCTGGAAAACTTGATCCTATTACAACCTCGGTTTTGATCCATGGAAATTGACAAAGGCACGATTCGGGTTGGATTCGCATCTAATAAACTCATAACCTCACTGAAATAAAAGGTGCGAAAACAAATACAACTGAAAGGAGTTTTGTCAAACGGGGTTGCCAAGAATAAAACCTAACACTTAACAAGAGGGTGACTTTCCCTGAGACTTTAGATCTTAGCCCTTACATGAGTGAAGTAGGAGATGGTAACGATGTTTACAAGCTATATGCAGTGGTTGTCCATATTGACATGCTAAATGCATCGTTTTTCGGCCATTACATTTGTTATACAAAGGATTTTTGTGGAAAATGGTACAGGATTGATGACTGCAAGGTAGAAATAGCTCTCTCTCTCTCTCTCTCTCTCTCTCTCTCTCTCTCTGTGTGTACCCAGGGACCCAAAAAGAAAAAAAAAAGTGGGGAAAATGGACCAGTACCACATGTACAAATGAGCATGTGTCCCATATGTGAATATATTTCTGTCCAGTTACTCCATGTTAAACTCTCTATATATATATGTGTGTGTGTGTGTGTGTGTGTGTGTGTGTGTGTTGACATCCATTCGCCAAGGCATCTATCTGATAACACCGAGTGTAAGACTTGGTGATCTCACTTCTTCGAAAAAAATCCCATTGTATTTTGAGAATGTCCTCCATGGAAGCTTCCTCTCTCGTCTGTATCATACTCTTTTAATTTTACTGCTGGTTCATTGTCAGTGCGCATTTAGTTTGTAAATCTCTATTCATTATGAAAAAATATGGGACATAATTGATTCTGGTCAAGACAAACATCAGTAGAAAATGCAATATTTACGTGGTCTTGTTGAAATGTGTATTGTTTTTGTTAGTCTACTTGAATTTGTAGTTTCATCTAACTTGATTCACAATTTTTTTTTTTCAAGTCATGAGGGTTGATTTGGAAGAGGTGCTCTCGCAGGGGGCTTATATGCTGTTGTATAGCAGGTAGCTGATCTTCTTACTTTCCCTGCTATTAGTGACTTGTCAATTTCAATATAAGAGTAATTGTCATACATTTTGTTACTCAATGATGGCCTATCACCTAAAATTCAGTGGATACACATGTTCATGATTGACGTGGAATAATGTCTTAAAATGTGATTTGAAACATATGGCCAAGCCCTCTTTTGAGGAAAAGGCTAAGTTGTAACAACCTCTAACCCTACATCTCCTTGATGAGGAAGAAGTAGATGAGGAGCAGAGCTGTCACCAATTATTGAAAGACAGCTCATTGCTTTCTCCTTTGCGCCTTATGGCTTCTCTCATTCATTAATGAAATTGTGTTAATCCTAATACAAGTTAAAATACTTTCTTATTTAGTCATTACTTTCTTATATCTTTCTTTTTTCTCCTGTTAAGTAAACTACTTTCTTATATCTTAAAACCCCTTCACATGCTATTTAATATGACCCTCATCCTGGTATTACTATATGATTTTTTTTTTCTTGATCATTATCTTAAACATATCATTTAAAAAGATTACATTCATTGCATATTCAACCTTTTTTTAGTGACTTCTTTGACAACAAAACTTGCCAAATTTTGATTTAAATTATAGGCAATATTATAAATAAGGCTTCTTGAAAATAGCACGATACTCATTTTTTATTTTATCTATTTATATGTGCGATCCTTTGCTGTAGCTTGACTTTTGAAGCTTCTTCAAATCTCTCCACTTTTGGGGAGATTCAAAAAGTAGGTTATAAGGGATTATCTTTTCTTTTCTCTCCAAATCATCCCATACAAATAGACTGTTATTAGTACTACAAAGCTTGTTGCCTTAAAAAGACTTGGTTGATTTTTCTGGTTAGGGAGAATCATATGTGAAATTCATTCAATGATTCGGCACTTCATAGCATCTATTTGAAAACTCTGACAACAAAACCCTATTGTAGAGATCCCATTTTTGACCGGCCTTGAGACTCAGACGTCACCAGTTGAGCACTTGGTGATATTGCATAGTGTGCTCGTTCAGAAGTTTCAGAGTTGCGGCCGTGAGCCCTGCCTTCGGACTTCCGAACCCTCTTTTGTACTTTGCCTCGGTTTGCGAACCAGGCTCGGTTTTCTCTGTGTCTTTTCCTGAGGGGAGGGAGAGGTCCTGTGTACCATCTCTCAGTGGCCGTAGGCTACATTTGGCGGCCGTAGGCCATTTTTCCCATTTCGGAGTCCGGTTTCCGGTTTTCGGAGCCGTCAGGCCGTGTGCCTCGGTTCGGGACTGCTTAACCATCTCCTATTGCTCTGGTTTTTGGCATACTTCCTATTTTCTCCCTTTTGAGGGACACTGGGGTCCGAGAAACCCACTTCGTGGCCGAACGCCACTTTCGGTGCTTAACAGCCCATTTTCGGGACCTCGAACTGCGCGTTTTGGTCCCCGAGCATTCGTTTTGCGACGGTTTTCGTTCATTTTTTGGCAGGTACCTCTGTTTTATCACTGGAGAGATCACTGAAGGGTGGGAAGCCAGTAATTGTTGCAGCAACCAGTTATACATCCTCCGACGCCCTCCGGCGCCCGTTTTTCGCACTTCCGGGCTAATGTTGAACCCCTTGGACCCATTTTCTTGAACTTTGAACCATATATTTGTGATGTACACACATGGAAGGACCCTAAAAAGTGGTGGCCGGCCAGTAATTCAACTTGACCCTTTTGACCCCCTCTTTCCAAGCTAATGTTGAACCCCTTGGACCCATTTTCTTGAACTTTGAACCACAGGGTTGTGTTGTACACACATAGGAGGACACCATCAGTTGGTGGCCGGCCAGAAAATCTTCTTGACCCTTTTGACCCCTAGCCGGCCGGCTAGGGGGTGTGGCCGGCCGGCCACCTGGAGCAAAAGTAATAGGCCGGCTGTGCTCTTGGCACTGTGCACTTTACAGCTGTGGGGCTTTATCCCCCAGAAAATATCCCAATCCGGGGGATATTTTGTGGGGGAAAGTTTGTCTCCTTTTCCCCCACCTTTACACCCCCTCTTTGGCCTATATAGCAAGCAAGCCTTGTAGTATTTTGA